AGTAGTTGGCCAAAAAAGTGAAGTAACTGTTCCTCTGCATAGCTGATGGGGCAAGGAGTGAGGATATATTTCCCCTGAGAACAGCACAAATACAGATATGAATTATATTACTCCCTAACACAGCAGTTTGCATCATGTGTGATAAAACACATTTCAGTTAGTATCTAGCACACAGTCGGATATGAATGAATTTTTGGGGAAAACAAATAGAGAAAAAAGACAAAAAAAGCAGAAAACATGGTAGGTAATAGAAAATAAATATTACCTTATTACGATTGGCTGCAGCACTGGGACAGGGGAGCAGCAGGGAAAGTGCAGAACTCTGCAACTCCTTACACACCTGCCACAGGAAGTGTCTAAAAGAGCCACCTGCACACATTGATCACAGCCAGTTAGAACAGGAAGGGGGCAAATACTATTTACAGGGCTGTACATTGATTCAAAGTGCACATACAAACAAACTTTGAAAGAATTGTAGTTCAATACAAATAGACCCGGAATCTGTGCTGCAGGCTTCTGCTTATGTGATTAACTATTGCAGTATGAGAACTCCTTTTACACATGGTGCTTATTTACCCGCTCTTAAAGCCAGTTTTGTTTTATTTTGGTAGAAATGTCCTTCCTTTTTTTAGGTTCCGGTATTATTTTTTTAAACAAAAAAAATATTGTTCTCACAGTGACACATGGAAACTTCTATCAAAACGAAACAGAAAACCTACATTGGCCTGTAATGTCTTGAAAGTGGAAATTTATTTTATGGCCTGACAGTGTAATTAAGTAACTGCAAATGCCACATTTAAATGATCTTAGTCTCTTTACTTCTTCCTGTATTACAGAAAAACAAAATGAGCAGAGCAGAATAAATCTAAGTATATCCAGTGCTTAGATTCTCAATCGATTAAAAGTTCATATATTTTGCCATTGATTTTGTATTTTGCTTTTAATACTGGTTAGTTAGTTGTACCAGTTATTTGAAAGTTTATTAATTAAAATAAAGCTCAAGCGCAAGAATCCAAGGCAGTAAAGAAGTATTGTGAGGGAGAAATTCTTACTTGTGCCATGAACTTCCTCTCCAGTGAAGCGGATGTTAAAGGCGTAGGTTGGGTCTCCTCCACTGGCGAGTTTCACACAAAGCTGGGATGACGGCACACACGACAGCTGGCGTGCTGCCTGGCAGAAGTACGTGTTCTCTGATGACCTGATCTCACCTGAGGCAGACGTACCCAATCAGAAAAAAAAAGCACGTTTGACAAGATACCTTTGCAAGTATGAAGAGTATTAGGGCCACATTAAAAAAAATAATAATTATTGATCATTTTGAGAAAAAAGGTTCGTAATTCTATTTCGAGGAAAAAAAAACAAACCAAAATGTGCAGATTACAAACTGATGCAGCCTCTGCAAGATGCTTTGTGTAGATGAGTTACTGAAACAAATTGATCAGCTGCTACATCCCACTAAACATTGGATGTTAGATAGATGCTCAGACCATGTCTATATTGGGTCTGCTGTTTTTGCAAGCAATCGAAATCTATATAACGTCCAAACAAGGTCCACAATTTGGACGCCAAAACATGACCCACCTTGGAGGTTAATACAATGCTCAATATATGAACTTTGGACAGGATAATTACTTTGGGCGTCACGTGGACATCTATGACAGGTGCCGGAAATTTGCATGATTAAGAAATGTAGTATTTTTTAATTACAAATATCAACATTATTGTTATCAACATAAACAATATGTTTAAATACAGATTATTTAAAAA